TGTCACTGGGACCCCCCGTAGGCAGTCAAAGGCTTTCCCACAGTATGGGCCAACTGTGTACGAACTTCAGTCTCTCAAGGTTATTTCCTTTGCAAAGCATAGCTGGAAGCCCTGTCAACAGTCACCACCAACTCCATCTGACCTAATAGTGGTTTAAGATTTTTCTTTAAGTGATAAACTAAACACATGCGTGAAGCTTTACCTGCATGTTTAAATATTAAAACCAAGCTTAACACTATTTGATTCCTCAGGGTCTAACTCCATAGAGCCTCAAGCACAGATTGATTTCTCTGAAAATGGAGCATACCAATATCTCTCCTTCTTCCGGCAGAGATCTGCCCTCAGGAGACAGTCAGGTGTTGCCTACTGAGCTCTACAAAGTTAATAAATTATTCTTATTGTTTTCCATAAAGAGTGGATCAGCTACATTTAGCCTCTGACAAAGAAGAGGCAGAGACAAAGAAACCTGTGGTTTCTGTTCCTTCTAGGACACTGATAGAAAATCCAAAGTGAATTGGAAATGGATTCGCATGTGTGTAGCTGTGCCTGACTGTCAGATAAAACCAGTTTTATTTTTGAAAACATTTAAAATACTTCTATCAAACTTTGCTCTCCAGTACAGGTCTATAAAGCAGAATAAATATAGCACAGGTGGGATCAACTTTGCTCTTCAGTATTGGATGTAAGAGTGGAGCTTGATGCATTCTATGGCTATGTACTGGTGCTCCTTTCCTCGATACAACTTTAACTCAATGTAAACCAGTGTAAACCAGTGTCTCATAATTTCAGTAGTTGTCCAGTATCAGTGGTAGCGGGTGTTGTTCAGCGAAACAAGTGTTGGAAGTGGAGATACTTCATGATTTTGTGCCTTTACTTCTCTTTCAACATTAAAAAAAAAAAAAAACCCACTGATTTTTTAATACCTTTTTTTTTTCTTCCCTGTTCAGTTTTGCCTTGGGGTGCTGTGAATGAAAACTTTAGGGGGCCCTGAAGAGTACTTTGAAGGGTTTGCCAGTTGGTGGTTGTTGATATGGAGGTATTGATCCAGTAGTAAAGAGATTTTGTTCCTGTTAGCTTTCCAAACATTGAAATGAAATAAATATTTTCTAGAACTAACATGGTTCAGTGACTTTTAAATTTTGTGGGTGGGGGGGCGAAGGCAGGGAATGGTATGAGTAAGCAAAGAACCACTTTCTACCTGGAAAAGCTGATTTTCATTCACTGGCGATGTATTTAATCTTCATTCTGAGCTGATTCCTATGCATCTCACATGAAAATGTGTTAAAACAGGCTTCACTCACCATTCTAAAATGTATTCTAGGCCTTCTTTCTACATCAGAATGCTCTAAATTGCCGTCCTGTTTTGAAAACAAAAGTCCTCTGACCATCTGACCACTTTTTCCCCCTTCAGTGTTGGTGTAACGTCTTTTTATGTCAGAGAATGAAACTGTACGTGGTCCATCTGTTCTCTTTCACCAGTAGCTACCTCCATCCCTCCTGTTTATCTCACTACTGAGTCTCTCACACACATCATGTCTCAGATCCAGTAGATATCCTCCACAGTTGTGAGGAAATGGTTATTTTACACTATATTCGCTTCCTCCTTGAGCATAGAGCTATTATAGATGCCACATCAGGGCTGTTCCTCTCTTGCCTTGCTCTCCCCATGAGTGTCAGGTGCAAGGAGGTATTCTAGTTCTTGTATCCAGGATGTTTTCCAAGTTGCTCTTCACATTTTTCAGTCTGTCATCTTCCAATTCTGGGCATATGTCTCTCAATAGAAAGTATTGACTGTATACAGAGGACTAGTTCTTGGAAGCTGATATAGAAACAGAAAGCTTACTGTACAGATAGCTATATGCTAACACAATAATATAGATTAAAAAAACAACATAGATTATATAATGTAAATCTAATAATATAGATCTAAAAAACAACAGATTGATGGAATCTATTTCAGCTATGAGTTAAAACCAGCTTCAGATAGTGCTCTTCAACTAAAACATGGTCGTTGTAGGACAAGGTAGGGGACAAAAAGCTTTCTTACTCCGGTGAAAAACAAGATCTGACAGTTTTTAACAAAGCAAGACTTTTAAAACATAGATGAGGTAATGAGAAGTCCCAAGAAAATTAAAGAAAATAGTATGACCAGACAATCTGGAACAAGCAATCCAGGTCATACTAAGTGGATAAATCAATTCACATACAGCCATGTTGGATTAATCATCATCAAAAATGGTCAGGAAATTTATAAGTTAAACCTTAATGAAGGTTGAGAAAACCTCTCTAATTTACCATTTCATTCTGGCATGTTATATAAATGTCAGCTCATGATAGGTTACTTATAATAATACTTAATCATAATCATTCGATGGAACTGTACTGAATGTCCATGTCGAGGTTTTGACAGTGAGGAGGTCGCAGGGGTGGTCTCTCTGAGAAGAGAGAGGCCTGGGGCTGCCCATGCTGGACAGTTCCATCCAGCTCCAACAGACCCACCACAGGACTCTGATGAGCCCGTTAGCCAAGTTGGTTGTGCCTCTGTGAAAACATACTTAGAAATGGCAAAAAAAAAAAAAAAAAAAGGAAAGAGAGGGAGAGAAGGAAACAATTGAGTAAGAAACAGCAGAAGGAACACCAGTGTCATAGGAGTGTCATAGGAGGAGGAGGTGGTGCTCCTTAGTAAAGCAGGCACCCCTTGAAGGGACTGCAGCCCATGGAGGGGACACACTGAACCAGAGAAAAAGAGTTAGAGGGAAGGAGTGGCAGTGAGAAACCTCTGCAGCCTGACCACAACTCCCCCACACTGCTGACTGCCTCGTGGAAGGGACTGAGTCTAACTTAGAGATACAACAAGGGGCAAAAAATTGGCAATGAAGTTAATTTTCCCCAAGCCAAGTCTGCATTGCCCATGACAGCAACTGGTAAGTGATCTCCTGTCTTTATCTTGACCCATAAGCTTTCTTGTTCCTGTTCTTCCTATCTTTCTACTCTATCCTGCTTAGGGGGAAATGAGCAAGTGACTGGGTGGGTGTTTGGCTGCCAGCCAGAGCCAACCCACCAGAGGAAGATGCACAAATTTCATTCTGTAGAAGTGTTCTTGGATAAGTATGAGAACTGCCACAGGAGTCAGAACTGTACACCTCATTTTCAGTCCATTATTCCACAGATCACATGCTGGACATCATATGCAACTCCATCACTGTAGCGCAAGCACAATTCTGAGAATTGTGAATCTATAGACAGTTTTACATGACAGCACAACTCATTTTGAGGCCAAACTATACAGTAAGATAGACATGCTTTTGCCAGCAGAGTAAGAAATTTTCACTTCTGTGTCTTACTAATTGTTGAGATTTAAGATTTTTTTTTTTTTTAACATGGACTTGTGTTTTCCCATTTTACACCACTGGCTATATTTTGCATGCTGGTATTATATAAAAACATTACTAGGAATATCACGTCATCCTTGCTCTGATTCCTATGTTGTATTACACACAAAGGCCAGCTTTACTCACAATGATGCTACTTTAAACCATCAGGTTACTTGGGCTTTTAGAAAAAGTTTTGCTGTCTATGCAAGACATAAAAGACATCACACTCTAATTGTCACTTTCTGTTTTCATAATAAAGCAGTATCCACATTCAGCAAGGCTCAATGTAAATGATTTCTCGGTTTTTTCAAGTGGTGTTAAGCACACATAATCAAGCATATACACTAAAGTGATACTGAGAACTTGAAAAGCATATTATCTTCTTCTTCTATTAATGGACAAAGAAAAAATTAAACACATAATCTGACTATTCACTATAACTGGGGACACATAATTAAATATCTCCTAGCCCACATGGTTCCATTGTGCATTTCAAAGCATGGCTCTAGTGCTCTGAGAGCGCTCAGTGCTTTAGCAGGCAGCTCAGTTAACTTTTGAGGTCGGTGCCATCTCTGTAATAGGAGAAAACAGTCCCTCTCCATAAAAAGCAGCAGTGTACATAGAGTAAGCATATGAAGTTCAACCCATCCCCCAAGAGGGGCGCTCAGCTTGTTTGAAAGGGTGCACAGCTCAGCTTTGTTTCCAAAGGGATCACCTGTACAGTGCAGGGAGGTTGAAGCATCCCGCTTGGCAAAGCGACCCTCGGGGGTGCCTTGCAGTGGCTGCCGAGGACTGTGAGCCAAGCCGCTCTGCATGGAGCATTGCTTCCCAACGCTCCCATCGAGCTGCCTGACCCAGCCAGAGCCTGCTCCCGAGAGCCAGCTGCGGAGCGATGCACCCTGCGTTTCTCAGCACAGCACCCAGCTGTGCACCCTGCTGCATGCTGGGTGGGTATGAGGCAGTATGGTTTATTGCAAACAGCCATAAATTAACCTACAAACTATGTGTATCATTACATACTGCAGCATGCATGTGTAACAATATAAAAAGAAGCTAGCTGAACCTATGCCTCAGTTTTGTGTCATCAATGCATAAAAATATTTTATGAGAGACAGAATAACAAAAATACTTAGCATTTACAGAGCTCTTTCATATGCAGACTCACTTAAGTAGACTTTTCACAGGAGAGTTAGAGTCTGGAAAAGTAACAACTTTACTGCATTTGCTGGGACAAAACCTCGTCTCCTAAACTCCCGGGCTACTTCCCTCTCTTTCAGATCTCAAAACCAAGAGTCACTTTATGTATTTGTCAGGATTACTAACAGGCTGTAGTATAAAGAAATCATAGTTAAAAATATTTCCTTCTTTCTTAACATCCCTATTTGCTTTTTGATATAGGAAATAAAATACCATTTGTTTTACAGTCCTAGAAACAGGTAATAATGAATACACAAGAAAAAATACATATTTATATGTATGTGTATATGTATCACAGATTTTCAGCTTGACTACTTAGCAAAAAGGGAGAATATGTTTGTTTTACCCCCTTCCACCACCTTAGACTAGTGACCTCTAATACAAGTGGATTTTAGGTTTTAGAAAGCCATTTCAAACTGCTGTTCCTACCTGCCTTCGAGAAGCAATAGTGCTATTGAAACTCCTGTTAGTCATCTTGGAATTCACAGGCTTGCTTTGGTGAGCCACATCATTCCTCCATGTCTTAGAGCTTTCTTTTGGTTCCGAAGGGATGGGGTTCAGGAACAATATTCTAGCAATCAGGCCATAGAGGACAGTCGCCAATACCATTGGCACAACATAAAATATACCAAAGTCCATCATGTAGATAGGAGAGTAATAGCTTCTGGACACCTTGTAGCCACAGGACACAACAGTAGTGTCTTTGTAGACTACTGTATTAAGGTCTAGCAAGAAAAACCAGAGCATACAGTATATGGAGGTGAAAGCCCAGACAAAGATAATGATCTTTTTTGCTCTTGAAAAAGTGCATAGGAATTGAGCTTTGATTGGGTGGCAGATGGCTATGTATCTCTCAATGGTGAAGGCAGTGATGGAAAAAGAAGAAGCATTGATCCCTAGGTACTGGAGGTAAGTGATGCAGAGACACCCTACGTAGCCATACACCCAGGATCTATACAGGCTTTCTGTGATATTAGGCAGTCCTGCAGCCACAAGCACCATGAGATCTGCCACAGCCAGACTCACCAGATAGCAGTTAGTGGGAGTTCTCATGTGTTTGGTTCTGAGGACCACCAAAACCACCATGATGTTGCCCACGATGCCCAGTCCACAGATCAGGAGGACCAAGAATATGGTAACCACTTGGTATTCGGCTGTAACGATCTCCTGGCTTGATTGTAGCAGCCCAGTTTGGTTCTGTTCATCCCCTGTGCTGTTCTCCATCTTCACCAGCCTGCTGTTGCTTCTGCCCAGCACTCCGTCTCAGGACATGTTCTTCATGGTCCCCTGCAAAAGGGTGAGAGGAGCAGAGCGTGGGTGAGCTGTAGCCCCGAGTACATTCTTGATGGAGTCACAGTCCCATTCCTGTACTCTCCTCCACTCACCCACAAGCACCTGGAATTTCAGCCTTTGTAAATGCAGTTACCAGACAGGTTAATTCCTCTAAGATTCCAGCTCATTTGCACAGGCTAAAAAGCTGTTTTCTCCTAGCTGGTTGGAGGCATTCGTGAAAACACAGCATGTGGAGGTGGGAGCTTTCCCCGCTGCAGAGGAGGAGGAGGCGTCGGGAGGGAAGGCAGAGCCCTCCTGCACTGCCAGCTGGCTGAAGCACTGCTCGGGACTGAGCTGATCCGGTCCAGGCGGACCTCAGCATCACCACTTTCCAGGAGGAGTCACAACGCACCGAGGGTGGAGACAGCAGCAGGACGTGAAAGGGAAGATTTGTAAAGCCCCACGGGTTTTCTGCTTCACGCTGCTTTTCCTCTCTCCTCTCAGACGGCTGTCTCACATATCGATCACATTGATCCACCCTGGCAAACAAAGGAGATGATTGACTGGCAACCAAATCACACTGACTTCTAAAATTCTGACTCCCCCTAAGCCCCCGTCCTTTTGAAAGTGATGGTAATATACTCTCGCCTCCCACTTTGCATGGAGCTGTAAGAGTCCCTTCAGAGCTGACAGAAAGAAAAGTACCCCAACTTGTGAAAACAGCAGGACAAACTGGGTGTCTTTACAGACAATTCTCTTCAAAACCCCTATTGCTATTGCTGTCATCTCCCCTGAGCCCTTTCAGCTCTTTTCTGGATTCTAGCACAGCAACAACAAAACCATCAGAGCACAAATTACTCCTTAATGAGATCAGTCACATACACGTGTGCACACACAGAGTTTTCCTAATCCACTACCGTTTCCTCAATGAAGAGTCTCTTCTAGTTGAATAAACTCCTCTGAGTTGAGTCAGGTTGTGTAAAACCACAGGCAAATCAAAGCCTGGTGGAAATATAACCACTTTGAGATGCGCTGAAGAAAGACCTACAGATGCAGTAGCAGTATTCACGAGCCCAGCCGCACCTGGAGATGGATGCAGAGATTTCCTCTCTCACTTGCTGCAATCTTAATGCCTCAGTGAGAGAAACAATAACAAATCCTGTGAGGCTCTGTGAAAAAGCCCTTGTCAGTTTTCCGTTATAGTGTTTTGACCCATTATTTCTCCTTATTCTATGTGTTAAAAGGTTGAAAATTAAATCTGCCTTAAAATCCCCTTTTTTTCCCTCCATTTACCACAATTGTTTTTGCTCTTTGCTCAGGAAGGGTTCAAAAAATAAAATGTTGCACAACCAGGGAGACACAGCTTGGATTTCAAAACAGATTTTATTGTTAAGAGAGAAGGATTAGCATAGGCACATGGCGTAATGTTTGCAAATCTAGGATTTTAAATAGACTGAAACAACAGGTGGTGACAAAAAGAGAACATCACCTGGATCAGAGCTTGAAATTAGACTCAAACAATTTCAGAGGTTTGAAGCCACAGGGTTAAGTCTTCCAGTTATTTTTTCCATTTGCCTGTTCATACTTCAACTGTGATGCTTTTGATCTCTAGACCCCAAAGTACTTAACAAAGTAAAGCAAATAGCATTATTTGTGTTTAGCAGATGAAGAAACAAGGGTGAAAGAAATTAGATTCACTGCCAGTAGCCTAGCAGTGGCCTGTGGGAAAATTCAGGTTGCTGGTTACTTGACTAACAGTTACTTGACCAACAGAATCGTATCATGGGTCTTACAGAGATTCTGCTCCATACAATCTGCAGATCCCATTGTTTTGGTCACAGCTGAAAGAGGAAAAAGGCCAGTACTAGTGTGATGCCTGAGTGTCAGAAAGAGGTTTCCTCCTAGCCCCCTTCATTCTCCACAACATTTTATCCTTCAAACTGGACAGAATCTCCATGCTTTTAAAGCTATGTGGCTATAGTGGGTGCAGCCCCAGATGCTCAGCCCTGTAGCACAAAACACATCAGGAGGGAGCCCAGGAGTGAACTACCACAGATTTAGTGGCAGTAACCAGGGACCCAGCAGGGATCGAACCCAGTAGGACCTGATCCAGAGTTCAAACTAGGAAACTGAGTTAGTTGACAGCCTGAGTAAAAACCCTTAACTCTCAGTGATTTCAGCTAAATCAGAAGTTTTCAGGACCTCCATAGACTGATTTCTCTTTTAGGGGTGACTGATGCCTTTCTGCCACACCATCCCACCATGAAGTCTTTTTTCTTCATGTTTCCATGTATTCTGCTAGCACATGTAGGTGATCTGAGTTGGCACGGAGGAACTAGAGCATCTGAGTACACAAGTGTTTGCAGTGCCAGAAGTAGTGGCTGGGGACATGGGATGCAGAGAAGCTGCAGTACATTTAAAAGCCCACATGACTTTGAGGTGAATGTGGGAAGTCTAGAAGATGTCCAAGAAATGTACAATCTGATGCTCACCTGGTTATTCTGTTGCATCTGCTACTAGTCTGTCTCAGACATGGGACAGTCCTTCTTGTCTCAGTCAGTTGTTTACTTTTCATGGATTTTTGCCAAGTGTTGCATTCTGGTAAGAAAAAGTACGGAGTTGTCACTGTATGGCTGTAGGGAAGTATATCAGGAGATGCTCAGAGGATTTTGACAGTATTAACATCCTATGTGGAGCACTTCCCTTTTCTTTCCATACAGTACTTCCCCAACCTACAACATTTCTGTAAAATGTTCAGCAACTGCAGAAGAAATGTCGAGTGTAAATATATATTCTATGTAATTAAAGTATCTGGTGTCATGGATTCGACACAAACATCATGTGATGAGCCTTACCTAATACATTTAGATTATCATTTTAACATGATCATCAGTAAGAGATCAGATAGTGAGCTTGGGAATCAGTGAAAGACCAGCTTTTTCTCTCAGTTAATGCTGTGTTAATGTAACCTGCAAAATACACAGGCTATTTTCAAAACCAGTTCCTCATTAATACATGCAAAACCGGCAGCTGTGCCAGAGAAATTTTTAGAGCAGATGGACAAGAGATCACTGTGAAACTTCTAATGCCTGTCTATTACTCCATTTTATACACACACCTGTTGGTCCAGGCGTCAATTGGCATTACGTGAGTATCTGAGTACAGATGAAGTTAGCAAGTCCACAACAAGGGGTAGGAAAACAGGTCCCTGAAATATACTGACTCTTGCTCATACATTTCTGTTGGTACAACCCTTTGGGTCGGAGGGAGAGGGGGAGGCATCGTGTTGATACACCCTGTGCTGTATACCACTTATCCAACAATATTCTTGTCCAATTTTTTTCCCATTTGTCTCAATTCAAATGCATCTCTGCTCACTTGAGGCACAACAAACCCATAACAAACTGTCTCACAGTGTTAAACACACACTGAGACGGAACAATGAATCACTATAAACACATTACCCCTCTAGCTATAAATTATTCTTAATTCTGTTTCTCTAACTCTTCCCCAGCTGGTCTTTTCTCTTCTGGAAAATGACTCAGCAAAAATGGCAATTTCGTACTCTATTACCTGTCTGTACTGAAGGTTCATAAAAAATCATAAGTAACTTGGATGCCTTACTCTGGTGCACCTCGGAGGGAGCGCTGAACACCTAACTGCTGTGCAAGTGTCTCCAAGGCTGCAGTTTGTAGAAAACAAAAGTCACCATCAGTGACGTACCTTCAGTACCATCCAAAGGTTGGCTTTTAAAGCTGTTGTCTCGCTACTGGCCCGATCAGCTCCAAATGTGGTTTTGATTTACACCTGACATGGTTAACATGGTTAACCAGAATTTATGTTCCTGTGTCTGCTGCACCACGAAGCTGTGGTTTTGTGCTAATGTAGGAAGCCTGTGGCAAAGCGTTTGGTTTGTGGGACAAATCTGCTCCTGGAAAAGTCTTCTATGAGTAAAGATAGTGAGGGTACTAAACAGCTTTTCTGTGAGATAAATCTCATTACCCAAGGCAGCAATCCTTCTTTCTAACTATTTTTTTGCTGTTTTCTTTTAATCTTCGTGTTGGACTGGTGTTGGTTGTTAACAGAAGACAAGTAATAAGGAATTTTTAACTTAATTGTTCTGAAAAAAGGATTGTCACAAAAATTAAGAAAAATGGACTTAAGCAATCTGTTGCCTTTCATGTGTAATTTGGTTTATCTATTGCCTGTCAACAAGGTCACTGGATACTGTCATCTGTCAAGGCAGATCTGGGATTATATGGCAAAGGAGACGGGAAGGGTTTTAAAGAGGTCTATTCTTCACTAATTTCTATCAACTCAGGCAGAGAGAAACTATTACAAGAACCTGATGAAACAGAAAAAATTTTTGCACAGTAAGTGTAGAGCACAAAAAAAAAAAAAAAGGAGTGAGAGAGACTTCTTTCACAAAGTTTTTTGATTTACTGAATTATCTTCATTTATTTGGACTTTCCCACTTCAGACACTATCAGGGAAGTCAAAATCATCACAGAAAAATGATCTGAAGAAAGCAGTGTTGCAGTTCAAGGGGGACAAACACCAAGTGGTGCGCTTGGGCAGGAGGAAGCAGGTGCACAAATTCAGTGTGGAACAACTGGCAGGAGGAGCAACTCATCAGATCCCAAGCCGTACATCCATCAGTACAAGGGGCTAATGAGAATCTGTGGTGAAAACAAGCTTTCATCTGGCGTGTATCAGCAGGAGCATATCCAACATGAGATATGAACTCACCTTTCCCTGGCCTGTGTCCAGTTTTTGAGGCACCTTCTGAGGTGTGGATACAACTCAGAGAAGAGCTAGAGGAAAGACCTATGACAGCAGGATCTGTGAGAAAATAATGAACAAATCTAAGTCATCTTCCCTTGAGAAAAGCTGCAAAATAAAAAATGATAACCTATTCTCCACATCCATCTGAAACAGCAACAGGGATGATT